TTCTTTCTTTCTTTCTTTCTTTCTTTCTTTCTTTCTTTCTTTCTTTCTTTCTTTCTTCCTTTCTTTCCTTTCTTTCTTTCTCTTTCTTTCTCTCTCTCTCTCTCTCTCTTTAAGGTTTCTTTGTGTAGCCTTGGCTGTCCTGCTGTCCTGGCACTAGCTCTGTGCACCAGGCTGGCCTTGAATGCAGAGATCTGCCTGCCTCTGCCTCCCGAGTACTGGGATTAAAGGCATGTGCCACCATCACCTGGGGAAAGAATTTGTTATTACTTGTGTTTAATGTCAAGAGAGTCAGTCATTTGTAATCTTATTTCTACTAGAAATGCAGATTAACATAGTTACTCTTTTCATCTAAGAAAGTGGGCTTACTCTGCAAAGGATTTTTTTTTTAAATTGAGAATATTTAATTTTTTTTATAGAAGTACCAAAAGAAAAACTTAGTTGCGGTATGTAATAGTTTATTACATGATGAAAAATAGTGTAATTTCATCTCACAAAGACTGTTCTCTGCTAGAAGAACCGTTTCATAGCGATGATTGGCTCCTCTGCTTTAGTTTTGAATTTGGCTGTTGTGAAAAAGTTCATTTCCCCCCCACCACCCTTTTCCATGACAGCCCTAAGGAAGAACCACACTGGGAATCCATCAGGAAGAAACAGCCCCCACATTTACTTTACGCCTAGAGTGGCCTTACCCCGTAGTCAGTGTATCCTGGCTCCGTCTCTGGCATTATCCTCAAGTCTGTACAATGTCCTGTGACTAATATACTCCAGCTGTCTGGGTCACCACTTTGGAGTACTGTTTATTTGCAGCCGTGATGCTGCCACGGGGAAAAGCTTTCCCTTTTGTTGGTTGAAAGCTTTCCCTGTAATTAGCAAAACAAGCATGCCTCTTACTTAGAGCAGGACTGGAAAGGCGGCTAGTGTCCACTGTACACAAACACTTGGAAAACAATTTGGCCTCACTTAGAGGATTAAACCTGCACAGCCCCGAAGCCTTGCCACTTTTCCCTAGGTAGGGCCTGCAGAAACTTAACATGCGTACCCAGGGACAAGGGCCAGAATATAACGGCAGCGTTATTCATGACAGCTGAAAATCGAAAACTCCCAGGATCCTCAGCAGCAGAATAGAGCTGGGAATTGAGTCTCTTCACACAATGGAAAATGTGGAACGTAGAAAAAAAATGAATGAACCACAGCCACTTGAGTCAACAACAGTGAAGCTCAGAATCAAAGCTTAAGGAAGGAGGAAGTCTCAGAAGACTGTGCACATTGTGTTTTCCTTTACATTAGGCTTAACTTAGACAAAACCACAATGGCATATTGAGAATACATATTGGTGAAACCACAAAGAGAAAAAAAAAAAGGTTGACTCAGAGCTCAGTCTAGTGTTGCATCTCTGTGGTTGGCAGGGGAGGTGGTGAAGAATGATCAGAGGAAATGCAGTGAGCAAGTGCACACACGGCCTCCAAAACCCAAAGCTCAAGTCAGATGCGTTCTGTTAGAGTGGTCTTCACTGCACGGCAGTTCTCAGAGCTCTCACTGTAAGCCCTAAGTGTGATCTCATAGCTTCCACGTGTGTGTGTGGGGGGTGTCAGGCATTTAGAAACAGGTTAGCCTGGGTGGTTTTAACTTAGGGTCTCATGGAGTTGAAGTGAGGACCAGCTGCTGCCGAGGGATCTGCTTCTGTGTTGGCTCAAGCGCGTGGTGTTGGAAGCCTCAGTTTTGCACTGGTTTTGAGAAGTATCTGTATAACTTCTTTTTGTTGGTGTGTTTGTGTGTGTGTGTGTATGTGAAAACATACACATGGTGCGGGTGTTAAAGGACAATCCATATGACTCCTCACCTTCCAGCGGGTCTCTTTGTTGTGTACTGCTGTGCATTCCAGGCGGGTTGCCAGCCTGTGAACTTCCAGAGACTCTTCTTTCTGCGTCGCCCATCTTACGTCGGATTACTGGAAATGCAGATGTGCTTGTTGCATCTGGCTTTATCACATGGAATCTGGGGATGTGAACTCAGGTCTTCATCTTGCATGGCAAGTGCTTTACCTGTTGAGCTCTTGTAGATGTGAGCTGCAGAAGCATCTCTTTGGCATTCCCCCAGTGTTGTAGCATTTACCCACAGCAGCCTTCTTCAGCATGGAGGGGAAGTGGACTACACCAGGGCAGGAACGCTGGGAGGTGGGGATCGCTGGCTGCCGTTTTGGAGGCTGGCTTTCACAGTCTCTCTTTTTAAAATATATTTCGGAATAATAACTTTTTAGAGACAAACTAAATTGCTAAGTTTATTTGTTTATTTACTTTGGATTTTTTGAGACAGGGTTTCTTTGTATAGCCCATGGCTATCCTAGAACTCACTCTGTAGACCAGGCTGACCTTGAACTCAGATCCACCTGTCTCTGCCTCCCTAGTGCTGGGACTAAAGGCATGAACTGCCACTGCAGGGAGATAAAGTTTATTTGTATATAGTAACTGTACAATCATCCCTTCTTACTGACAATAATGTCTTAGCAGCCAGGACAGAGAGGACAGTGTCACCAGTATGCAGAGCAGCTCGTGCATGGCATGAGTCTGCCTGGTGGGAAGGAGGAGGACAAGGAGGACTGGACCACTGATACCTGTCAGGCTAGGCGACGTAGAGGTGGCATTCCCGCTCTCCAGATGGCATTTTGTCTGCCTCTACATCTGGCAAAAGTCTGGGACCCCAGATTTTGAAGAGATGTCTTCAGAACAAAGGTCATTGTGAAGTTACAGTCCATGGCATACCCCTGCGTCTTCTGTTACTGTCTGTAATGACAATGGATAAGTAGTCCACACTTCACTTCCCATCCCCTACAAATGTGAAAGCTGGAAATGGCCTACGGAAGCCAAAACAGGATTGTTGTTGTCGTGTAAAAATTCATGTACCATTCTACTTCTTGTTTTAATATTAACTACTTTCAAATTATTAATTTATTTGCTCACCTCCCACCCAGATTTTTAAGTTAAGAAAATACATTGCGTATTTCCCCCTCAGTTTTGTGTGGCTGTCGAAGCGGCTGCTTTGAGAGTATTCCTGGGGTCAAATGCCCAGTTTGTGAGAGTCTCCTTTGTGAATCTCAGCATCTCTGGAAGGCAGGCAAAGCATCAGGTGAGGAAGTGGCTCTCACTTCTTACACTAACTTGTGGAGAGGAGAGGACTGCACACCACTAGCTCCCCTCAGACCTTTGCTCACCAGGTACGCCTCACACCTCCACCTCTGGGTGTGCAGACATTTGCTTAGCAGAGAGGCCTTTTCCAGACAGAGGCCCTTCCCGCCAGCTCAGAGAGAGTTTTCCTTCTCTCCTCAGCTCTGGGCCTCGTTTGTGGGGCTGTGTCTGTGCTGCTGTTTTGCATCATAGTTGTCATTTTATGAAAACAGAGTCCTCACCAGCAAGGGCCTTCTTTGATTAATGCAAAGATGAAAATGGCCAGTGTTCTGATGTGGTGCTGGTTATTTATTTACTTCAGTTAGCCATCTGTACTCTTTTGAGAAAAGGGAGGAACATTAATTGTATGTATAAAATGCCAAAAATACATGAAGGTTATTGTGTCTACAAGGGAAGTATAATTATTAGTGGTAATTATAGTAATTGAGATGATTACAGGATTAATGGTACTATTAAGCGTGATTGCGGTTGTCTTCTCTTAGGAAACATGTAGTAGCACACACCCGTTTCCTCAGGTGAGAGTGTCTGGGCCTTTGGCTCTGAGCTGCTTTACAGAAGAGCATCATTGCTCTGGACAGAGCACACCATGTGTAGTGAGACAAACTCTGGTCCTGGAGTTGGAAAACTTGAGTAGGCATCTCATTTCTGCTATTTTCTAGATGAGTGTCTTTGACTCTCAGCTGACTTGTCTAGAGGGTGGTAAACTCACTCGGAGCTGTGAGGAGGAGCAGATGGATTAGGTACCTCCAAAGCAGATGGTGGTACCAGTCGGAGGGTGGCAAGGGCACAGTGCTGCCTTGCTGGGTGGCGTGTAGTTGTACTTAGGAGGGGCTGGCTCAGAATGTCTTTGCCTCAGAGGATTTAAGTAAGTCCTGCTGTTTCACAGTGGTTGTTGATTGGAAGACAATGCCCGATGCACATGGTCCCAGGCATTCAAGGTCAAAAGGAAGAACTCATGCCCTTACAGCTCAGTTTTTTTTCTGAGCTTGGGCTGAGTTGAGGAAGTTTGGGCCGTGCCACTGCGTTGAAATGGTTTCAGGGGAAGAGAAAGTCACCATGGCACTAATATTCAGAAGACCTAAAGGATGGCGTGATGCCATACTTAATATGTTGTGGGTTGCAAATTTGCTGAGAGCAAAGATCTCTCTGGAGTTCTGGCCACAAATAAGAGCGTAACTGATAGCTGAGAGTGGGTTCCCTATAGTTATAGCCCTAGCACTCTGAATACAGGCTGGGAGGGGCCAGAGTTTAAAGCCGGCCTGGCTGCATATCCAGACATGGCTCAAAACAAACAGTAAGAGAAGTACATGAAGAAATGGATATGCTAATTAGCTGATTGTAGTAACAATTTCTTAATGTATACATAAGGCAGAATGTCACATTGTATATCCTAACTCCCTAATTATAGGCAGTTTTTGTCAAGCACATCTTAAAATGAAGCCAGAGGGAGGGGGAAAAAACTTAATTCACTGTGGGATTGTTGCAAGCATTCCTAGAGTGAATGAGGCTGATTGAATTTCCCGTGGTCAATATGGGATCGTTTTTCCTATTTTCGTGTTTCTCCTTATTTTTTTAAGTTATAACAATATTTTAATCTTGAGACTCACCATATATTACGTACATCTCTGACTGAAATAGTATTAGCTTAATAAAATTCCTTGTTGCTAACATGTTTTTTGCTGCTACTTGCAGGGTGAAGGCAGCATGAGTGGTGTCCGCGGGCAAACTTAGCCATTTGATTTCATTTAGGAGACAGCCACCCACTTGGAAGGTGAGTAAAGACTTATCTGCAACTTTTTGCTGTGAGAAGTCCTCAGCCTGCTGAAGAGTTGAAAGAACAGGAAGTGAGGCCCTGAGTGCCCAGCACCTACATCCAGTGTTGTTAGCATTTTGCTAAAAGTTTCTGTTTAGGTAGTTCTGTCCCTTTTAAAAATACTTCGGTTATTTTGTTTTTGCTGAAACACATGGGAATAAGTTGCAAATATCAAGACATTTTCTCCTCAATTTTTAGGGCTTCTAAAAATAACAGTGTTCTCCCATGAGTGGCATTTTAGAACACTTGTAAATTGTGTGACACCAAATCACTTAAGGAAGCACTTAAGTGTGTAACTGAGGCCGTCTCCCTTCATAGTTTACAGAAATAAAAGATTTTCACTCTGTCCAGTTAACGGGCTGCTGAGCAGTGCGGATTGGGTTGATGAGAACCATGTATAGAGGTACGGTGTTGGCCCCGTGTAGGAGAGGCCTGTAAGCTGCCTGTTCGCTGTGGCTGCCGTTGGGTTGGTGGGGTGAGTGAATCAGATGGCAGCAACTCTCCTCCTGACGAGCATTCAGAGGTAACCTAGTCTCCTGATCTATGTGGTCAAAAAGGTTAGTTAATTAAAAAAAAAAAAAATAAATCTGTATCTGTAGGAGAATTGGAAAGATCACGAATGGTCGTGTGAAGTTGAGGTTAAATGTTAGAATCAACACCACAGAGGCTGAAACTGATTCCAAGCTTTGAGACTTGACTATAGACATTTTATATAAAAGACTTGTTGGACTTCATCATTCTATAGCGATTATCGTTACATGTCACTGCATATCAGCTGATTACAGGAGCCACCGTTTCTGGCAGGGGAGCGACTGGCTGTTCTGAATTCCAGGCCTCTTATCACTACATGTATTATAAATACACGCTCAGAGCCACTTCACACACCAAACAGCTGTGTGACAAGCACTCAGATTAAGAAAAGCCACTATCTTCACCTCATCCTTTCCACGAGACACTGTGCTGCTCCTTTGACTTGTAGCAGTATAAATTAGTTTTCCTTTGTTCATTGTGTGTGTATATGTTTGCGTATGTCTCTGTGTAACACATAACCCAGATTATATTTTGGTATGCTTTTTGTCAGTCAGTCATTGTTGCAGACAGTTATAGAATGTCCATTCGTTGTCATTGCGCATTCTACTGTGTGAAAACACCACGATTTATTTATTCTAGCTGATGTGGATTGTTTTAAGGGGTTTACTCATCCAGGCCACCCTGCAGAGAAATGGGGACTGAGTGAGGTTTGTCTTTACCGTCACTACAGTGGAGTAGCAGTAGGATGCCAGCCTTTGCCCAGCTGGTGCTGTTTGTGAAGAAGCCCGAACATGGTGGTGGAAGATGCAGGCACCTGTAGAGCTCTGTGGTTTCTTCAGTCCTGCAGTGACTCTGGCTCCTCCCATGGCTCCCTGCTCTTTTCTGCTGGCTCCGTCCTCTGTGTCTTCCTCTGCAGTGCCTCCAGGCCGACTGCAGCCTCTTTCAAACAGGCCATGGGTGAATAAATAATTAAAAGCATGCTAGGTACTGGTATTAGGAATTAAGGAAGGGCAAGAGCACTGTGAGCTGTGCTTGCACCCGAGCGCCTGTGCTGTGGTTATAATGTCAGAGTTAAGGACACGCATTAGTTGTACTGCACAGTTCAGGAAAGCAAATTCAAAGACCATAGACCAAGCTGGTAACAAGGACTGCAACTAACAGGCACTAGTTGGCACTGTGGAGATTTGAGTCTGACTCAGTTTTGTAAGCTGTCCAAGGGCTAGAAGACTATATTATAAGAAAGTATTCTCCATGGGAAATGGTGTTTTTATTGCCAAATTCTGTTTTTCTAAATAAAGTTCTATTCAAATACAGTCATGCTGATTTGCTAACAGATTGTGTTATATAACAGTAGAGTTGAATAGCAGTAAAAGAAACCAGGGTAAGTAGTTGTATCAAATGATCATATGGCTCACAAAGCTGCAAATATTTATGATCTCCCTTGCTCAAAGTGTTTGCCAGCTCCTGCTTTATGTCATTGAAGCAAAGATATAGCAAGGATAATCAATGTGGTCATATAAGAATCTAAGCTCTTCAAGTGTGTTCATGTATTCAACCAATGAGTTTGTGCACTTAGAACATTTTTAGAGGTGCTTGAGAATTTACAAATTCCATTCTAGTTTTCTATGAGGTGTAACAAAATATAGTGTGGAAATAAAACTGCCAGTTTGTCAATTTAAAGTTAATATATCCACTGTCTTAATTAGTGTTGCAGATTTGATAAGTAGTTGCTCTACACAATCCAGTGGCCACCTCAGCAAGAGGACTGTGTGGTGTGATAGACACCAATTCTTACAGCTTTAAGACCCTGACTGTATTTGGGCGGTGACTCTAGGCCCCTGGGAAGGCTGCCCTATCTGGAGCGGGGGGGGGGGGGGGGGGGGGGGGGGGGGGGAGCTTTGGGCATGCTTATCACAGCAAGCCCAGCAGACCTCTGAATCATAACAAACCAAGATAATACAGTGTGGAATGTGGAGTGACCGATCAGTTTGTGTCGGTACGCTTATCCCTGCTTGCTCAAGGTCATACATAATGATTTATGTTTAATCGGAGCCTGTAGACACCACTGCAAGGAACACAAAGTAATGCCCTTCATAGTTATCTAAGAAATGTGTTTTAAGTATAATTTTGACCTAGTTATTGGTTTTTGTAAGTGCTTGTGTGTGTTTTATGGGTAGACGCTTGGGCTTTCATTGTCTGCCCACTTACTCCATGACTGTCCTCAGACAAGCTATGATCATGAGCCACCATAGACCACACAGGCTATGCTTCCTTCTTTCAGTCCAAGAGGTCTTTTAGGAATCACTGGGTGTTTATTGGGTGTTGTAGCTGTAATTATTTAGCAGTGTGTGATGATTCAAGGGAGCAGAAGAGCATACAGCTCCCCGTGATACTATCTATCGCCTCTGGAGCCACTGGACCACAAGTGAAATGCTTTTCACCGCATTTGGGGGCAGGCGTCTAGATGGGCAGCATTGCTCTCAGAAATTTCAGGACTTCTGAAGGAACCAAGGAGGAAATCTGTGAAATGCTGCTGCCAGAGCAGGTGGTCTCACTAGATAGAAGGGAGGCCAGCTGTGGTTCGTGAGGACCTGTGTGCTGCTCTCAGAGGAAATTAGTGTGGTTCGTGAGGCCCTGTGTAGTTTAGGAATGAATGAGCATACCCGAGCCTGGTGTGGTGGCACACACCTTTAATCCCAGTACTCCGGAGGCAGAGGCAGGTAGTTCTCTGTGAGTTCAAGGCCAGCCTGGCCTAAAGTTTCAGGACAGCCAGGGCTGTTATACAGAGAAGTCATGTCTTGAAAACAAACAACACTCCAAAACCAACCTCCCTCCAAAAATGAGGCTCTTTTCTCTTTCTCTTCTGTATTGGTTGCTCCCCACTCTGCAGTACTTTGCCATTGTTGATACTGTTCTGCACTCTCCCCACGCCCAGCCTCAGCTGGTTTGAACTTGTAGTCCTCATCTCAGTATCCCGAGTAACTGGCATTATTGGCTTGAACCACTGGCTCAGCCTAAAATGCCATTTCCTGAAGAAAAAAAAATGCCCATAGGAAAAATCATTTGCTCTGAGGCAGTAGAAAAACTGACTAATTCAGACCACCCGCTTAGTGTGCAGGTGATTGAGCCCAGGATAGCTCTCCCTGAAGCTGGCTGGGGAATCCAAGGGATATGTGGATCCATCTTGGCCGTGTTTGTGTGGAGACCTGCAGAGCTTTGAATTCAGGACGAGAAAGAATGATGGCGGCTGTGATTCCAGGTGTGCTACTGTGAGGCTAGTCCTGGGTGTCACTCTCTCTCTCCCTTCACTGAGACAGGGTTTCTGTGTGTCGCCTCAGCTGTCCTAGACTTGCTTTGTAGACCAGGCTGGCCTCCAACTCACAGCAATCCACCTGCCTCTGCCTCCCTGAGAGCTGGGATTAAAAGTGTATGCCACCCCAACACTTGGCTCTTTGGTCTGTTTTGATTGGATTGTCCCGGTCACATGCTTCAGTCCTAGCCTGAGGGTAACGTTTCTTTATCTGGAGTGGAAGTGAAGATGGATACGTACGGAAAGTTAGTGGTTGCCTTTAGTGACATAAACGTTAGTTGCCAGGACAGTCATTTGGTACTGGAAGGTTCACTAGTTGTGATAATGATAATTAACATGTGTTTGTTTGTTTGTTTTAGGGTTTGCAAAGTGTTTTGAGGCGTGTTGCTTTTGAACTGAGATACATATTAGGGTAGCAGAATGAACCTATGATGGAGAACATAAATGAGTTATAGGTCTGGGTGCATGAGCTTGCCATGTTACTCAACCCTTTTGTGCCCATTTCTTTAACTGTTCAATGGGGACAAAGGCTTTTACCCTGGTTCTGGGAAAGCTCAAATGAATGGATATTTGTGGGGAATTTCTTTTTTTTTTTTTTTTTTTAAAGATTTATTTATGTATTTTATGTATTGGAGTGCTCTGTCATCATGTACACCAGCAGAGAGAATCATCTCCCCTTACAGATGGTTGTGAGCCACCATGTGGATGCTGGGAATTGAACTCTGGACCTCTAGTAGAGCAGCCAGTGCTTTGAACCATTGAGCCATCTCTCCAGCCCCTTGTGGGGCATTTCTAACAATACTTCCAGATTGCTGTTCTTTATCCCTCGTTATTGTGTTGATGTCCTGTCATGTGGCCTGTGAGGGTCAATATTGTCAAGTCCTGACTTTTTCCATTCCACGCTTGCCTTTGTGTTGACTGTGGGGCATCTGCGGGAGTTAATAATTAATAAAGGAGGCAGAGATGAAGAACCCACACAAACGCTTGTGGCAGTGCCTCCATGCCCATCCCGTGTTGCTATCTACTCAGCTTTCTTCTGGCTTTTGCTCATGTTGCTCTACCCTGGTGGGAACGTACTTGGGTGGGGATGTTGAGGCATATGTAGGGTTGGTATTCA